CTGCTACTTTGAGGGCATTCTTTCTATAACCCTATGTGCACATCTGGGAGCTGGCCCACTGGGCTGTGGTATATGATTGGCACAGAGTTTCCCAAAGTAGTTGGAACACTTTTTCTGTAATCATAAAGAAGGAATTTTTAAAAATGTATTTAAAAGTACAGTTGTAAAATATCAATTGTAGTTCTTGTTATAGCAATAAGGAAGAGCTATGAGGCCAAGATGAGGCAAATAGGTATCATGACATCAAAAGTCAAGAAGAAAAACACCCAGACCTGACTCTATACTTCCTACCACTGGTCAGCTTCCCAAGAGAAGCAAGTCTCAGAAAATCTCATGAAGAATGTTGTTATTACAGGAGTCAAAGGGAAAAGGTGTCTTGGTAATGAAGAAAAAGTTAATAAAGTCATCATGTAAGAGGTCATAACAACAACAACAACAAACGAACAAAAATGCACATGGTTTCAAAGCCAATTCTAAGAAGAAAGCAGTGGCTTTGAGACAGATGTACAGTGATTATAAACTATGGCAGCCAATAGGCAATGTTCAGTATACTCAAGCCCAGACGGGAAGAACTGAGCAACACAACTAGCAAAGGAGATGTTCTTATTGTCATAGATACACATCTTTAATATCTTTGACATCTAGACAGAAGACAACCAGAGATCCACAAGAGTAGATTTCCACTGCCTGCAAGGGTATATAGACCCAGGAATCATTCAATCAACAGGCTGAGGAAGTTACTTCCTACTTTACACAGCAAGGAACATGATGAGGAGGACATGTTCTACAGGATTTGTTGTGACTCAAAACAGGAGAAACCTCAATAACTGTATGATTATCCCTTTTAATGGCAACAGAAATTCTTGGTTGAGAGGAAAGAAAAGAACTCAGCTTAGTCCTTATGATGTATAAACTGAAAATATGTTAAAATTATGTGAAATGTTTGTTAATCCTTCAAATATTAGATGCAGCAATTTGAAAATTCATTATGGAAAAGTTCTAATTTGATTAAAATCACTTAACTATTATTATCACGTGTTTGTAACTAAGATATGCAATTAATTTAATCTATATATTTAGATGCAAGTAATTTTCTAAGTTTTTTTATAGAATCACTATGTAGCCAATGTCTCCTCTTGTAGTGAACATGAACAGAAGAAAATATGAGATTGACACTAAAAGAAGGGATAGAGAAATTGTATACCGAGGTACAGAGAAATATACATATTGCTACTTAGCATGTTTTCAACAAAAATCATTGCTCTAAAACAAATTATATAGTAATAGAAATTGTGTTTTATTTAAATGAGTGGGACACTGCTGAAGATTGAGCTTATGAACCTTGCATGCTAGGTGAGTGCTCTACCACTGAGCTAGTTTCAACACCAATTTTGTTACTTTTATAATATTTTACTATTAATATCTTTTAATTAATGACTATAATTAGACAAAAATTTATATAATATGGTTGTTTATTTGAATCCTTATTCTCATAGAAACCCAGTTTCTACTGAGTTCTTAGTACTGGCCTCAGCACATACAGGCTTTGAAAGCAAGCATGTTTCTGCGAACATACTTTGAGATGATTTTGCTTTACCTCAGTTTTCTTGACTGTTTTTTTTCCCCATAGTTCAGTGACTGCACATGGTAAGTCCAACAAAAGCATGTAACCTTTTTCTTTGAAGGCTATCTATGGCTTTTGTCATAGTCTATTGACAGTCTATTGCTCCTTCCTGATAGTCTCTGGTTTCCAGGTCATCAGGAAGGTCACATGATTGGCATTCTTCTTTCCTTACTGGATGCTGTCAGGATTATTGCTTCTGTCTTTGATTATTTTCCTTGTCCTCATAACCAACTCTTGCTCTTTGAGTTGTAGTAATTATTCCCGGGTGATCTCATCCCTGCTGTAGACTTTGATACTTAACTTAGACTTCCCGTCTCTGGATATGCAGATTCAAATACCTGCTTTGTATCTCTAACAGAACAATTACTGGAGACTTCTGAAAAGTTGAGTTCCCAAGACTCCCTTTTCACCCTGCCCTTGTCATTTACACAATATAAAAAATAACACTATCACATTTTATTGAAAGAGTAGTTTACTATAGTTCTCTATCTAGATTTCAGTGTCTATGATAGATTAACAGCACCTAATAACTTCTACCTTTAAACTCTATGTTGATGTTCTCCAGTTTTTGACAACTTCAATTTCCTCCACTGATAAAGCCACCACTTTTGTTATTCCAGAAGCTTCCAAGATGTCTCCTTCATTCTATCTTTACCCATCCTGGACTATTCAGCAATGTGGGAAAGAAAGGGAGGAGATAAGGAGGGGAGGAGGTACTGATCAATGAGTAAGGAATTTCCTTTAGAGAAGAAAGTAATTTTTAGTGATATATTTCATTTTAGGATTTCCAAGTAGATAATCATGGACTATATAACTAAAATGGATAAAATAATGTGATTCTGGTATTTTTTTCACAGAACACAAACAAGTTCTGAATGGATCTGTATGTTAGAACACATAGTTGAACAAATATATATTGCATTGTACTTTATAAAAACAATTAGCCTTAAGGGAAATAAATACATAACCCAAAGAAACTGGCTCTCTTGAAAGCAAAAGCTGTATGAGGTCTTACAGCTTGTAGGTTTGAGTGAAAGCCTTGTGTTTCCTTAAACACTGATCAGCTGCTGTGCAGTAAGAAATGAATCTAGAATTACTGTGCTTAGAAATGAACATAATTTCATTTCTACTATGTGTATAAATTGAAAGAATATTAGGGTCATAGAAATCTAAAATTGATCTTCACTTTGATATGTAAGGATGCACATTTTAGTTACTGCTGTTCCTGTGTGTGCTTAAATTTTAAAATTACTTATGGCAACTGTGCAAAATGATGGGTTTCCTTTTTGATATTTTCATTGATGTATATAATACACAATCACCTGTAATCACCTGTTTCCTGGTATAGTGTTGAACAGCATAGAAAGAGAACTCTGAATATTTCTAAATTACTTACTTCTTGAAGAACCTATTTCACACATTTAGATTAGTTCATGGCTATGTAACATATCTCTGTTATTGATACAGTATTGAATTTTTAAGTTTAAACTAGTTCTCTTGTCCTTGCACAATATAAATCAAATGATTAACAAACATATTTCAATAAAGGAAAAACTTAGGAAAATTAAAAGAAGGGCAATAACTACACACATCAACCAGAATTTCCTCAGTATAAATAATTAAATTTTAATTATTGAGCTGGGACATTTTCCCTTAAGAATTTAAAATTCAGTCAGATGTCTAACATGATAAAGCATTCAGATCATTTAGAAGTTTCATTGTGTGCACACTAATTTTTCTTTCATTATATAAAAGACTAAGCTACATTCTAGTAGTAGTATTGCTACATATTAACTTCTGTGAAATTATACATACTTCTACATGAATTTCATCAACTTTGTCACTTGAAGGCTTTTGTTTGCATTTATAGGTGGAGAGGACAGGTACAACATAGAGTATTTCCATGCATTTCTTATGATTTAGGGCACATTTTATCTGTAGTTTTAATTGCAGTAGATTTTGAGATAAAAATTAATAATAATCAGTAATTAGTGTAATTTTTAGGAATTAGATATATATTACCAAGTATGTTTAGATAATCCTCTAAGGAAATTACACAGACTCTCTGATCTTCAATATTATTGCATTTAAAGTGAGGTATTGGGCTGGAGGGATAGCTCAGCCGTTAAAGGCTAGGCTCACAACCAAAAATAAAGTGAGGTATCATGATGAAATTTATGATTTACAAGTGTAAAAAAGATCATAGTAGGCAGCAATAATGTCAGATTTTCTTTCTTTTCAGTAAATAAAATGTCTGTCATGGGGAAAGTTATACACTTTCTTTCATTCAACATCAAAAGTTGTTTAAGTGTTCATGGTATTTCATAGACATTTTTGTTGATTTAAGCTTTTCCTTCTTCAGAGATCCTCATGTCCACATTTCCCTTTTTTTCTTCCCACTCTTTGATATTCACTCAAGATTGTCATGAAATCATTTCCTGGCAAGTGGCAATCTAACATCCATAGCTAACTTTTAAGCATTACTAATGGTATCCTTCCTTATTTGTTCAAATGGTAATTATTTTTCCAGCATAATTTTCATGTCAGTGATACATTCATTAGAAAGTTGGTTTTAAAATAGGTTGATTATTTTTCTTTACATTCATGAATTTTTTGTGAAGTAATATCTATTATTTCTTAGTCCTTAAACTACTTTATGTCTTCTATTTTGCTTCTAAAAAAACTAAAAAAAATTAGTTTTGAGGACTGATGACTCTAGAAAAGAAAGCATACATTTTGGCAACAAGGCTCATATGAGCTAAAGTAGGCTTTAAATGCCTTTACAGTAATATGTTAAAATTAATAATATGATTATATTGAATTCATATTTTTGTAATCTTCACGCAGTAGTGTGTGCCTATAACCACAGAAATTGAGAGCTAGACATACAAAGATCGGGGGCTCAAGGCCCACCTCAGTTATGTATTATGCTTAAGGATAGACTGATTCACATGAGATTCTGTCTTTAAACACATAATCATAAAAGAACAACAATATTTGTAGCAAAATGAGTCAACCTGGAGTCTATAACATATTATTTGCTGTGATTTATAAAGTTATACATTAAATGCTCTCCTAAACTGGACATATTCAGAAATAATATCTACATCATCTCATAGATTAATGCTGACATAGATCTCACTTATCATAGAACAAGAATAAACTCAGCCTGCCCAAATGATGTGGTACAAAGTATTGGGATCATGTTTCATGTATTACATTTTTCTAGAATTTGTTATTTAAATCCCTACAATATATTGTTTCGAAAAATTATTTTTGGAAAGAAATAGTTACAAAAAATCAAAAGTAACCTTGATGTCCAACAAATCTAACAATGATGAAAAACACAACTTTTCTAGCTTATTATAAAGGTACCAAGACTTTTAGTTATATGTTCTTATCTTTGTAGTGCATAGATGCTGAATGCTTTTGTGTATATAATGTCAAATGGACTATCCTTAGGAAAAAGTCAAATTTAGCCATACATTCTGACTTCTAAACATGATGCCACCTCCACTAGAAGTTATTGAGCCTTGAGCAACATTGTTCCTGGTAAGTAAATTCTTTTTCTTGAGTAGATATTTTTACTAAATCTTGGAAATCATGTAAACAGGCTTACTCTTCACCTAAGATCACGACAAATATAGGAAAAGCAAGGATTTATTGGAGTTTAGCAGCATTTAGTAGTGTTTCTTATAAGTCATAAACTGGAGAAAGATAAGCAAACATGAATGGGCCCTCAGAAATCCACAGCTAATCCAGCTAATCACTGATGGCCACACACACACACACACACACACACACACACACACACACACATGCGTGTGCAAGATCATCCATAAAGCAGACATGGAATGGTTTGACCGAAAAGACTTGTTTATTGCAAGAAGAAAGTCATGCCTAGTGTTTAAACAGTTTTCAAAGCAGGCATGTTGAAAGAAGACCTTTGGCAATGGTGAACATTAACCTGTGGATGGAGGTCATATAGTAAACTAGGTATTTATAGCGATGCCTATATGGATTCCACAAGGAGTTATACAAACTCTCCTAAAACTTCATACTTATTTTTATGAGTTTGCTCCATACTTTGGATTTATACTGATTTCTAAAAACACTTCCTCCTTTTCCTTTTTGAAAGAGACACAACTGTGTGTTCAGATAGGAAGAGAGTTGGTTTTCATCAATAATAGATTTACAGTTGCATGGTTTATAGATATTTGTAGCAGCTGAAGACGTTAAGTGACTAAAGATGCTCTTTGGGGCAAATGTGCAAAAGAAGGAATTAAAGGACTATCCTATTATTTGGCATTTTGAAATGTAGAGTGTTCAGAAGTTTACTAAAATATTGATGCCCTTTACATTTACAGATCAGAAACTATAAACTTGATATGATTTTATTAATATACGTTGACATTGGTGTGCTTATGCCTATACATGTGTATTGTATGGGTTCCAACAAATATCCTATAATTATCAAAAACCCTCAGATTTTAATAAATAATAAAATCATAAATACAAGTCATATAAAAGTGTTTCATGTATTAAAGGCTTAGGTTTCATTTATAATTTTAGGGTTGCCAATAATTTTTTTCTGTATGTATAAGAGTTCTTTAATGTGAACCATGTGACATAATGATTTTATAGTTTTCATGTATTGAACACTTATGATCAATGCCTACTTTGGTTTATGTTTGCATTCATTATCTCATTTATCTTATCTGTCATTCCTGAAATCTTTGAAATTGTTGATTTTTTGTCTTGTCCTACAGATGAGCAGACTGGGGATAGGAATGAGCAAGGCCTTTCAGCCAGTGAGTGAAGGAGCCACGCACATTGAGAAGGTTCCATAAAGTGAACCCTCTAGAGATCTGCACCCCTAGACATCCACTCTCCTGGTTGTGTATCATGCTGTTATACAGAGAGAAATCTGATCTATTGAAGATGCCATGGACACCATCTGTTGCTCTTATAGTTACTTCTAACTACTACACTAACATTTCTTGTCCATAATATAAGGTTTAAGTGCTTTTAGGAGACTGTACAAAAGAACTTGGAAGACTCCCCTGCTATCCTTTTACTTGTTGCTTAAGATGAAAAGAAACCTGCAGCATAGCATTTTCTAAGACCATCCTTAACTTAGTTTCTGGACTTCACAGTCTAGATATCGTAACATCACTTCAAATCACTATTTTATCTGCAGACCTTGACTTAAATACAAGTGTTTGAAATATCTCTAAAGAACACTGCATGCAAAAGGGTATTTTGCAAGCTGTGGTCATTTCATGACCTGTAAATATATTTTTGTGAGGAAGCTTCTTGAGCATATGTTCCACTTCCTCAGACACCAGAAAACTTCATTCTTTACATCTTTCCATGAACAACACATTGATTTAGAGAATCAAGAATATTTCTTATATCTATTAGTGTACAGACATCTTCTGATACAAAGTAAGTATTAAAATAATAAGAAAGAAAAAAGATGAGAAAATGGAATCAAAATGGAGAAATAGATGAATGAATGATTGGCAGATACTCCTCAGCAATGTGTCTGTGCTCAAGAGTTTTTGCTATTTCTTGTATTTCTAGGTTGTTCCTATTAAATGACATGTTTGATCCTTTTCAGTAAAGTTATTTATTTCCATGATTATAATCATTGATGTGAATTCCATGTAAAGGTAGCATCATCACATTTTGTTAGCATTACTAGAATTAGATATATTTTTGTATTGTTTCTTATTGCTACATAAAATTATTCATACATTTTATTTAATACTTGAATTTCTCATAAATTATTATTATTTATTACTATTATCATTTAAGCATAATAAGAACATTCCCTAACATATAGCACGAAAGTGGGGAAAGGAGCAGAACGAGTTATTGGTGTGCTTTATGCCTACTTTATCTGGTTTTCAGTCTTTGTTCTTGTCTGTTATTGGGTGGCTATGCAATGTGAGACATATCAGGAAAACCCTGAGGTGGTATAAGCTGCCACCTTGGTTTTTCTTACTTTTTAGTAGGTCATGAAAAGAGAAGTGGCATTCATTACTATCTCTGTGAATGCTATTCCATCCTGCCTGTCTGTTAGCTGCATAACAAAACTAGAATCAGATCTCATGACAAAGGATTTGAAGAATGAATAGAACATTGGGTGATTATGGGCTGGCAAAATAAAATTCTCTTTTAGAAATGGCAACAATTCTGATTAATTACATTGAGACATGAATTTAGCATTGCGATCTCACCTGAAAAACATCTCCAGAAGCTGAAGGCACCTTCCAATTGCACTAAAGTTCATAAACCTAAGGTCCCATCCATCACTAAGATATTTAGCTATTTTCTTAAATCTCTGATCTAAAATACTGCTCAAATGGGAACTTGGTTTTCAGGGAAATACCTGATTCTGTAAAAAGAAGGTGGCCTGAAAAGATGGATCATAGAAAAGTAAACTTAACAGTGACCGAGTTTGTGTTTCTGGGGCTTTCATCAGATCCCAAGATACAGCTAGTTCTCTTTTCTGTATTCTTGTTTTTCTACATATTGTCAGTGGTGGGAAATGCCATCATCATCACTATTATCCAGATAGAGCCTCGCCTGCATACCCCCATGTACTTCTTCCTCACTAACTTGTCCTTTCTGGACATCTGCTACACATCCACCAATGTCCCACAGATGCTCTCCAACATGGTGGGGAGTAAGAAGACCATCCCATTTGCCAGATGTGCTACCCAGATGTACTTCTCACTCTCTTTTGGAATGATTGAATGTGTTCTTCTTGGTGTCATGGCTTATGACAGATATGTAGCCATTTGCCACCCTCTTCATTATACTGTTCTTATGGATCAAAACACCTGTGTCCAACTGGCAGCCATTTCTTGGTCCAGTAGTTTCCTGAGTTCCATGGTTATCAATGTTCTCACCTTGAGTTTGCCCTACTGTGGACCAAATGTCCTGAATCACTTTTTCTGTGAAGTTCCTTCAGTTCTGAGGCTGGCTTGCACTGACACTTCACTCACTGAGCTGGTAGTTTTTGTATTCAGTATTATCATCGTGTTTATTCCTTTCCTTCTTATTATTGTTTCCTATGCCCGCATCCTTCTGTCTGTTCTCAGGATGCGGTCAGCCTCTGGGAGGCATAAGGCTCTGTCTACCTGTGCCTCCCATCTGACAGTTGTGACCTTATTCTACGGAACTGCTATCTTTATGTACATGAGACCACAGTCGAAGTCTTCCAGGGCTGGTGGCAAGGTAATTGCTGTATTCTACACTGTAGTGACACCTATGCTCAACCCATTAATATACAGCCTAAGGAACCAGGATGTAAAAGGGTCTCTGAGGAGAGCTATTACAAAACAAAATTTGTAAAATCTATGAAGGTACCAAAAGCTCAAATGTTAAGTTTGAGATAAGTACCAGCTAATCTGGAGATAGGGAGAATGAAAAATACATAGATCACCAGTTGTTTATGACATAAAATATCTTTCAAGTACACAGTCAGGCTTTAATATATTGAAATAATTGCCTTTATTGATTGAATGTATTTTTTACTCACTGGTAAAGTGTGTATATCCTGGATCAGATTGGAAAATGAATTAATTGAAATTGTCAGCAAGATGAAACTCCTTTATTTGAGGTAGGAAATCACACCTTTAATTCAGATCTTTAATCCAGATATAATCTAGACAAATCCTTCCATTGGATGTCTATATAAGGACATGGAAGAAGGAAGCATTTACTCCTCCTTTGCTTGCTCTTCTCTTGTTAGCATATCCATTCCTTCACTGGCATTAGAGCCTACTACTTTCACATTGCAGCATATACAGAAGACAGCTGCGACATCCAGCATTGTGGACTGAGCAACTACTGGATTTTTGGATTTTGCATTCATAGGCAGCCATTGTTGGATTAGCTAGAGCACACCATGTAAATCATGGTGTGCTAACAAATTCAATATACAGAGAGATTCATTTATCACTTCTATTCCTCTAAAGAGCCCTGACTACTATGACAGGTATGTAGAGAAGACATTCTAGAGCAGTTTGTGTTTCATAACAATCTCAGCTAACTTACAAATTCCTAATGGCCAACTTCCCTTAAACTTAGCCTTCCCCAGGTGGTTTTTTACTTCAGAGGACTCAATGCTCCTCCCCCATATCATTCTGAGCTAATTTCTTGGCATGAAACTTCTTACCTGTGCTTAGAGAGTGTAAATAATTTTGATAAGAGAAATGAAAATTCTCAATGCATGTAGAATGCAAGTTAAGTCTTTTGTGATGTAACTTTCCACATTTTGACAGTCTAAAAGTCTCCCTGAAGAAAGGACTCCATATTATACATTTTAGTTCAGACTTCATGTTGATCTCATTACATTGGCCTTGCTTAATGGAATGTCTCACTCCCTCTCACTAGGGTGTAGGGAACCCTACAGAAGAGAAGGCAGTAAGAAATTCAGAGCCAGATAGAATGGAGGATACCAAGAAAATGAGGCCTTCTGAACACAGCATGACCCCATGAACATATGAACTCCAAAGGACTGAGGCATAATGCACACAGCCTGCACAGGTCTGCACTAGTTTGGATCCTTCTGTCAACAAGTGGACACTCTAACCATAAATTTAGTTCTAATTGATAACCACTTGCAAATGAGAAATTGTTTTCTTCAAGGGAGCAATGCAAGGGAAACAAACCACTCTTAAGGGAGTACCCACGACTAGCAGTAAATGACCAATGTCTCATCATGTTCTGTCAAGGATTTTAGCTTACAGGTCCTTTGATTATATACTATGGCTTCTAGTTTTGTGTTTTTATGGGATTATTGTGTGTGGAAATGTATGTCTGTTTCTATATGTGTTTCTTCTGCTTTTACTTTGGCTTTTTTACTTCTGTGTGTTTTGTCCTATTCTGCCTTGTTTTTCTTCTATTTTTATTTCATTATTATTCCTAGATGTCTGTTTGTTTTCTAATGAGAGGCAGAGATAATTTGGATCTGGATGGCAAGGCAGGTAGAAAGAACTGGGAAGCATTGGGGGAAGTGAACACCAATCAGGATATATTGTATGAAAAGTCTATTTTCAATACAAATGTAAATACATATACCTATATTAGACTAATTAATAATTTCATTCCTTTGTAACCTATTGTTGAATGACTATGTATTACAATGTTAGTTAAAATAAAATATTTTATAATTATTTATAATACTTACATATATTATTATGTAATTTATGTATTATTATGTAATTATATATGTAGTGACAACTATTTGTGGTGATATTTATGATTTATTAAAGCTTGGCTAAAGTTACAAAAAGCAAAGCCAGCCACACTAGTTAGCTATAGAAGCCAGGTGGTGCTGTTATACACCTTCAATCCCACCACTTGTGAGGTAGAGGTATACAGGTCTATGTTAGTTCAAGGCCACACTAAGCTACACAAAATGATTCAGTCCTAAACAGAAATGGCTCACACAAGATGATCTCAGCACTTGGGATCACACATCTTAAATCCCAGCACTAGGAAGGTATAAAAAACAAAGGATCTCATGTGGAGATTGATTCTCTAGCCACACTGAGGAGAAGCAGCAATCTGAGGCTTGGTGAGGCCTTTTTGAGACAGGATCAGCCCTTTCTGCCTGAGGCAGAGGTAAGAGCTAGCGGCTTGGGTGCTTTGCTTTTCTGATCTTCAGACTGAAGCTTGAACCCCAATATTATTCTCTGGGTTTTTCTTTTTTGTGTTACAACTATCACATTGGAATGTATAAAATTTTGAGAAAGTGTTCATCAGAGATAATGACACACAACAATAGGCAGGGTATCCTCCTCTGAGCTTCACATAAGTACCAGAAGGAAGAATGCCTGGCTGCTGGTGGAATATAATAGCTGTCTCAGCAGAGAGAGAGAGAGAGAGAGAGAGAGAGAGAGAGAGAGAGAGAGAGAGATGGCCAGGGGGAGAGAGAGAGAGAGAGAGGGCCAGGAACAGGGAACTGCCAAGCCATGAACAATTTGGCAAGAGTGAGCAGTGACTAACATATTCTAACATATTCTGAAGGTTGATGTGACAAAACATAAAGTTTTGAATTTTTCTATGATATGTGAAGGACACACACATTCACACACCCCCAAATTTGCATATTGGTGAAAGTATAGAGCTTTCTGTATTTTGGAGGATTTGAGTCAGTGGCATTTCTAGAGGGAATTATTATTTGAACTAACAGAATAGTCAAATATATCTTAGTATCAAATATAGCTTAGTATTATAACTAATAAGGTCTACCTTTAGCTTGCTGCTGATGTAGAGATAAACTTGTAAAAGAGTTTCTGACAGTGGTGATTTTTTTTGTGTGTGTGATCTAACGAATAAAGCTTGCCTGAATACTGGAGTACAGAGCTAGCCACACTAGTTAGCTATACAGGCCAGGCAGTGGTGGCTCACACCTTTAATCTCAGCACTTGGGAGAAAGAGGCAGACAGATCTCTGTTACTTCAAGGCCACCCTGGGCTATAGGAAAACGATCCCGTCTAAAATAGAATCTGAGTCAAGTGGTGGGGACTTACAACTTTGATCCCAGTACTTGGGAGACACATGCCTTTAATTGCTGCACAAAGGAGTGGAGATAGGAAGGAATATGACTGTGCAGAGAGAGGAATGTAAGGCAGGACAGCCAATGAATTCCAGCCTCTCTCAATCTATTTGTAACCTCTTCATCTGTATTAGGTATTAGGGTTTGTTTTTTTTGTTTTGTTTTTGTTTTTGTTTTGTTATTTTTTTCATGACAGGACTTCCCTGTGTAGCTCTTGTAGACCAGGCTGGTCTCGAAATCACAGAGATTCACCTGCCTCTGCCTCCTAAAACCTGGGATTAAAGGCATGCACCACCACAGGCCCATTGTATTAGGTTTCTACATGCACTACTGTTTGTGATGAAGGACAAGCAAGAAAACAAAATAATCCAGACACCTAATAATCTAAACTGGGTCTCATATACATTTTGCCAAGCAAATGTTTTGTCCCTCTTAGGTTTTATTCTTCTGACATGAAAGAAGAATACAATATTTTAGAAATTTTACCTGAATAAATCTACTCATAATATTTTGGGCATTGAAGAAAGCAGAAGTCATTTTAAAGCTGACAAAAATGATGTATGTTTGAGCAATCACTACATCCAGTTTCCAAATGTGTAATTTCCCATTTGTGACTGTTGCAACACAGAGACTCATTCAAAGATGTCATGTATTTAAAATATTTACATTTTATTCATTTATTTTATATTTTAGGTATCTATTTTTGTTTTCTAGTACTGATTGTACAAAAGAATGAGTTTCATTGTAGCATTTTTATATCCTCCCTCTTTTATCCATTTATTCTCTTCTTCCCTAGTCTTCTCTCCTGAATTTACAACAAGCATTGAACCTTATTCTACCACCCATAAATCCATGTAAGAGATTGAGATAATGTTATGCTGTGTTTGTAAGAATGGATATTTTAACAAAGTCTAGCATTAACAAAATATAGTATGTTATCATGAACTATTTTTCTTTCAAGCCTAGTTGTATCAGGGTTACAGTGCATTTTAGGAAGCGACATTTTATTTATTATTAACTCTTTGGGAATTTCATACACACAATACCACCACTACCAACAAATCCCAAAATAATAGGAATCAAGAATCAATGGTCATAAATATCTCTTAATACCAATGGTCTCAATTTACCTATTAAAAGACACAGACTAACAAAATGGATATGAAGACAGAATCCATCTTTCTGCTGCATATAGAAGCACACTTCAACTTCAAAGATAGACATTACCTCAGAGTAAAGGTTTGGGAAAAGGTTTTGTGATCAAATGGACCTAAGAAGCAAGCTGGCATAGCTAGAGGGCTTATCTCCAAAATATACAAAGAACTCAAGAAGATAGTCTCCAAAACAGCAAACAATCCAATTAAAAAGTGGGGTACAGAACTAAATAGACAATTCTCAATAGAGGAATCTAAAATGGCTGAAAGACACATAAGAAAATGTTCAACATCTATAGCCATCAGGTAAATGCAAATCAAAACAACTCTGAGATACCATCTTACTCCTGTCAGAATGGCCCAAATCAAAAATACCAATGACAGTTCATGCTGGAGAGGATATGGAGAAAAGGGAACACTTCTCCAATGTTGGTGGGAGTGCCAACTTGTACAGCCACTTTGGAAATCAGTATGGTGACTCCTCAAGAAAATGGAATCAGTCTACCACCAGATCCAGCAATTCTACTCTTAGGCATATACCCAAAAGAAGCACATTCATACAACAAGGACATCTGTTCAATGATGTTCATAGCAGCTATTTGTAATAGCCAGAAACTGGAAGCAGCCTAGATGCCCCTCAACAGAAGAATGGATAGAGAAAATGTGGTACATTTACACAATGGAGTACTACTCAGTGGAAAAAAACAATGGAATCTTGAAATTTTCAGGAAAATGGATGGAACTAGAAGAAACCATTCTGAGCGAGGTAACTCAATTGCAAAACAACAAACATGGGATGTACTCACTCATATGGGGATTTTAGACATAAAGTAAGGATTACCACCCTACAATCCACACTGCCAAAGAAGCTAATAAACAAGGAGGACCCTAAGAGAGACATGCATGGTCCCCTGGAGAAGGGGAAAGGGTCAAGATATGCTAATCAAAGTGGGAGCATGGGAAGAGTGGGGAGGGAGCTAGGAGAATGAGAAGGGGAGAAGAGGAGGGATGCAGAGGACATGAGGGAGCAGAAAGGTTGAGTCAGGGGATGAATAGATGATAATAAGAATGGAGATATCATAATGGAGGGAGACATATTTGGTTTACAGAGAAATCAGGTACTAGGGAAATGTCTGGAGATCTACAAAGATGACACCAGCTAACAATCTAAGCAACAGAGGAGAGGCTACCTTAAATGCCCTACCCTGATAATGAGACTGTTGACTAACTTGTATACCATCCTATAGCCTTCATCCAGCAGCTGGTAAAAATAGAAGCAGACACCCACAACTAATCACTGAACTGAATTGAAACCCAGATTAAGAGAAGGACAAGTGAAGAGCACAGGGATCCAAGCCAGGCTGGTAAAACCCGCAGAAAGAGCTGACCTCAACATCGGGGAACTCTTGCTCCCCAGACTGATAGCTGGAGTCCAGACCAGGCTGGTGAAACCCACAGAAACAGCTGACCTGAATGAACATCGGGGAGCTCTTGGTCCCCAGACTGATAGCTGGGAAACCAGCCTGGGACTGATCCAGACTCCAGGAACATGGGTGCCAGTGAGGAAACCTCGGAAATTCATGGGGACTCCTGTAGAAGTTCAGTACTTATTTCTAGCATAGGTGTGGACTTTGGGAATCCATTCCATATAGAGGAATACTCCCTGAGCCAAGACACGGGGGGTGGGTATTGTGGGAAATTACCAATATGGAGTCAGGTAGAAATATAAGGGTATTTAATAGAGAAAAGCCTTACTTACAGAGCAACCTAGCCAGCTGGCGTGGTAGAGGTCTGTACAGCAAGCAGCAAAGAGAAACCGAAACCAAAAACGCAGTCCCACTATGTCACTCTGACCACGCCCTCACAAGCCTGGTCAGGCACACCTGTAGCCAGCCCCTAAGAAGGCATGGCTACAGCTTCCCCTACAGGTGGGCCAAAGCCCTATCCCAAAAGATACAATAGACACTGATGACACCCTATGGAAGGCCTTAACATACAGGGGGAGCAGAAAGGATATGTGATAGATACGGTTTTAGTTGGGGGGTGGTGTTAGGGGAGGAAGGGTGTGAGGAAGGAACTTGGATTGTCATGTAAATCAATCCTGTTTCTAATTCAAATAAAAAAGTTGAAAAAAATAAAATTCAAACTAAAATTAATTAAAATTGAGATGAAGAAGGTTAATTTCATATTCATCACAGAAAAAATTATCAAGATGAAGTCTCAATTCTGAATGTCTATATCCCTAATAGAAAGGCACCCACATTTGTAAAAGAAATATTATTAAAACTTAAATCACATATAAACCTCTACACACTTATAGTGGGAGACTTCAATACACCACTCTCCCC